GAACAACTGTACCACCAAACTTGCCGATCTGCTCTTGCTGGCTGTGCAGGGCACTTTGGACGGTTTCTAGTGCGTTAGTAGACACCAGTGAAGCAGTCTTTGTAGTCACCGATGCTGACAAAGCCCTTTTGACTCAGATCACACGGTGTGATTTTGTCAGTGCACGGTGTCGAACAACTGTACCACCAAACTTGCCGATCTGCTCCTGCAGGCTGTGCAGGGCACTTTGGACGTTGTCTAGTACGTCAATAGACACCAGTGAAGCTATTGTTACCGTCACTGACGCTCACTAAGCCCTTTTGACCCAGAACATACGGTGCAATTTTGTTGGTGCACGGTGCAGGATGGGGCGCAAACCCACAAAGCGGGAACTTATGCGCAAGGACAGCGATAAGAAGCGTCGAGCAGCATGGGCGCCAACTGAAGAAGTAGTGCAGCTGTATCCAGGCAGTCAGGATGAGGAAACACCGCTCGGCAAAGATGACAGCATGTTGACGGTTGTGAATGCCGCAACTGGCGCAACCATACTACAGCGCTTGCCAACAGCGTCAATGCGCTCACACCGCAGAATCATTGCACTGGCAAAGGAGGGACGCACCGTGTGCAATGACTTGTGGGAGGCCGTGGTACAGTCAGGACAAAAGGATGTCATCTTTTACGAGCTGACCAAGAAGAACGCAAAGAAGAAAGGTGGGAGTCAGTCTCTTGCGGTGGGTTTGATGTGGTACGCAGGGCAAAAGGGCGCAAGCGCAGAGTGGGGATGGGCAATGGCGCACGAGGTGGCACCAGTAGAAGCAGCAGCAATGCTCAGATGGCTGAAGGCATTTGTTGAGCTCACAGTCGAGACACACTTCAGGCAAGGACGCATTGCTGAGGACTTTGCAGCACATATCAAGGCAAGAGAGGCAGTGCGTGGGGTAATGCAGCGGGCACTTGGCGTGGACGGTGCAAATCAAGTGCATCGGTACTTTCACACCGGGGAAGTCATACAGGGTATAACTGGCGGCTTTCACCTTGACCCACATGACGATGTGCCAAACATACTAATCAATCTTGGAAGCGCTGTGGAGTTGCAGCTTGCAGAGTACGGCAAAGTGCACATGGATGTTGCGACCGTGGTGCTCTTCAATAATAGGGAACTACATCATGCAGTACGCTCTGCACCATCAAGCACAACAGAAGAGCGGTGGGCCCTCACACTAGGAGCGTGGCATGCGGCACTTGAAGCAGATGACGCACAGAAATAAATGTTTGTATGTGCGTGAGTGTGTGATGTATGTGTGGGTGTGCAACTTGAGCGTGTGTGGGTGTGTCAGACTTGCACAATTTTGTTGAAGTGGTGCTGCAGGAAGCAGGCGCCTGTGTTTTGCCCGGTGAGCGGGGCTAGCAGGCGATATGGAATGCGTGGAGTTTGGTCACGTGTTCAGTCGGTCGTAGGCTACTATGACAAGAGATCTTTGCATAGGTGATCATTCAAATGAGATCTAGGTCTTAGCATGGGGTATTTATACACACGGGTACCATGGTGTTGGTATCATGGGTTCTACAACAACTACTAACCCCTACCGTAGGGTACTGCGGTACAAGGGAAGGGTTATTGTACAAAAGAGGCGCCCCACTCAGGCGCCACAACTTAGCTGTACAAAGGCAGGTGCATCCACCTGCCGTGTACACAGGGAGTCACGTGGATTAAGGGACGCGTGATGTCCGGGTTCTATTGTGCCAGAGGCTTGGAGTCAAACAGTGCTGCAGCAAGCAGGCGCCTGTAGTGAGTAGCTTAGCGGTGATCACTGAAGTTATCACCAGCATAGGCAAGATTTGTGCTCAACAAACAAAGAGCTGATAACAAGTAAATGGTGAGCAGAACAGTACAGCGCAGGCATACTTGGCAAGCGTGCAAAGAAGATAGATGGTAACAATGGTTGCTGCTGGGGCATCACAAGCAGGTAGGCAAAGCAAAGACTGGGGTGCTTGGCATGCATGAAGAGAGAAATGTGCTGATGCGCACCAGACTGGGCAAGCAAGACAGCATGTCATGGAGGGAAGGCTGCGTGCATGCAAAGAATTGTCAGTGATCAAGAGTGACAGAGTGCTCAGCAGGGCAGTAAGCAGCAAGCAAAGTAGTGCTCTAAGCAGGAAGGCGTTAGTGCGTGTAAATGAAAGAGTTGTGGGGTAGAGGTCAAGCGTGTGTGTGCAGGGTTAGAGCGCGCAGAATGCAAGTTTGGGTTAGGGTTAGGGTTAGGGTTAGGGTTAGGGTTAGGGTTAGGGTTAGGGTTAGGGTTAGGGTTAGGGTTAGGGTTAGGGTTAGGGTTAGGGTT